AGGGCGTCCGTATTAAGCAGGTTCATTTAAGAGTAGAAGCATATCACTAGGACAACAAAAAGTGTTCGTAATAACAGGGTGACCATGTAAAGCAGGTTAATCTAAGAGTAGATGATTCGAATTACTTCTTAGAGTAGATGCATATAACTGGGACGAAAAAAGTAAATGAATTGTTAACGATAACAAAATGAAAAACCTGAATGTTTTTCTAATTATTCTTAACACCGACTCCAAAAATTCTCCAAACGATTTCTGAGCAACGATAAAAGTTACTTAAATTCTAAACAGAAGTTTCTACATCTCAAAAAGCAAAAAAAACAAAACAAGAAAAAAAAAATTTTTTTTTTGGAAATATTTTTCCGAAAAATATAAATATGATTATTTACCTCTGTAACGACTTTGAGGCGCTCACGAAAGGTTGTAAACATATTTGTTTAGCTTTACCGACCAGCGACGAATAATCCTCAAAACAGTTAGGCACACACAATCTTCTCTCAATAAACACAACAAGCGAATATCTAAATTCGTATCCAAGAATTCGTATAGTTTTTCCCCCTGAGTTTTGAGGTGCTTTATCGACGACTTTGCACAAAGGCTCCTCGACAAAGGTGACAAGACGGGTTGTTCTCCTCAAGGTGAGGTGTCGCAAGTTGTAACAGGTTTTTCTTAGCGCTCCCTTTTTGTCGAATTATAGAGCTCGCTTCAAATAATTAGGTGTTAAGGTAGGGATGGTTTTTTCCTACGCGTTTGAAATAACAATGGGAAAGTATGAGCTACTCACAGGTTTGTAATCAAATATTAATGATGTTAATGATCGAGTGATTTTTCAACAATTTTGCAATGATTTTTAAATGTTTGAAGCACGCTGTGTTGAACAATGATGGAGTTATCTGGATAGACGTATTTGGAAAAAGATGACGTTCGTTGTGTCTAATGCCAAAGGATTTTTATCAAAAAGATCAAACCCTGAAACAACCTCTGGGCTGATCTAAGTCAGGGCA